GCCACAACTCGCTGCTGCTGAGGGATGCCTTCGCACGAAATGACACGGTGCGTGGGTAACACCGGATGTGCATACGGCGGACACTCGAGCAACTTCTTCCTCATCCTATGGTACTCTGGCCTCCTCGCCGCCTCGAATGGGATGCCGCTCACGTACCACTACTGCAGGACGGAGTCCGAGAATTCTCGTTGCCACACTGGATCAAAGGTCTCCAGCATGGACGTCTGTCGAAGAACTCTGCTCTTTTTGGGATGAGAAGGTGCTGATCTCGCCTCAGTGGTAGTCATCTTCGCCTTCCTCTTTCTCTTCTTCGATCCCGCAGCCTCCTTTATCGCCCTAGCTGCCCCCTCTTGGCCACGACACCCATCGCCCATGAACCCCCCATCCAGAGAGGCCCCAAGGTCTGCTCCCTCATCGTCATCGTCGGCGTCGACGTCCTCGTCACGGGTGTTGTCCTTGTCAACGRCCTTGTCCTTTCTCATCTTTCCCCTGGCGCGCTCCACCTCTTGCCGCACCTCCATGTCCTCTGCATCACYCTCACCATCATCATCTCCACCCTCGACCGCCCCCCTCTCCTCCTCGCTGTCCTCAAACTCCTCATTCCCCGCCGGCTCCCCCCCCGATCCACATCTGTTGTCTCGCAACCCACGAGACTTCAGAAAGTCCACGATCTTCCGTGCATGGCTTGCATCGAACCCGTACTTTGTCTTGTTTCATATCTCCGCCATCTGCTCCATGGAGATTTTGGCGCAATTGTTCTTGATCGTGAAGTGTTGTGCGGCTTTCATCTGGCTCCCCTGAAAACCCTGACCACACAGCTTGCACTCCATGAGRAAATTGCCATTCGAATTCGGCATCGTCTGCCCCTTCGTAACCCATTYAAAGCCGCAAAACTTCAGCTCCGCCTCCCTCTGCTTGTCTTTACTGACCGGAACGAATGGCTGATCTCCCCTCCCTTTCTTGGGCGCCATTGTAGCCTTGCAGGTAGCCAACCGCCCACAGATGCCGGAGCGGAGCTCACGGGACAGCGCCAAAGCCCATCCTGCCCAGGCCTTTCCCCCTTCACCCCCCCCCCCCCCCCCCCCCCCCCCCCCCCCCAAACGGGCCCGACACTCGAAAACCGAGCACGGCCCGACCGCCGACCCATTTAGGCGTACGGGCCGTACGTACGGGATGCTGCATACGTATGCTCGTACGGGCCATACGTACGGGTGCCTCCGTACGTATGGGCGTGTGCGCGTGGCGTCCGCCGTCGCTGCGCCGCGTGCCCTCCAGGAGAGTTGGCCGCTCCCCTTGGTCGCGCCGCCGTTGCCATCGCCGGAACCGTCGTCGTTGCGTTCGCCGCTCACTC